AAGCAGTCTCCTCCCTTCTACTTCCCCCTGCTCTACAAGTAGTCTGCTGTACTCCTACTTCCCTATACTCTCCAGTACTAGTCGCTGGTGGACGCTGGTGGACGCTCTTAGAGGCTGGCGGACGCTAGATCGATACATACCGTGGACGCTGGCTGACGCTGGTTGCGACTGGCGCGGTGCCAGCTCATTTTCTACCAATTGTGGTCACTTGTCAGCTTCCACAGTTGGTGGAGACCGGGCTGGCCCCGCTCTAAATTTAATACTCCCGACACGCCTCAGTATCTGCAGCGAACAAGACCGGAGAAATCGAGCGACTTTGGCCCTGTAAAATTTCTTTTCTCGAGATAGTACATGCAGCCCGGTTTCTTCATCTCCGGGTTATAAACTTCGGCATTCGTTAGCAACACCACAGAATCGTACCATCAATGCAAGTGAGGATATTCTGGGCTTAGGAGAGGCTGTCGCGGTGGTCCAGAGGCATGGGGCCAAAACCACGATTTTCTCATAAAAAATGTTCGGCGTACAGGGCGAAAGCATGGCTGCTGCACGAACACGCCTCATACCCCAGAAAGTAGAATAATGGCGTCATTTTAATCTATAAAAATATGAGACGAGGCGGAGGTGGTGTAGTGACAAGTGGCGCGCTTACCACTCGCGCAGTTCTGGGTTCAAATCCCGGGTCGACTCCCGCCCAGGCCAACCAAGTGGTCTACCCTCGAGGACGATGAATTGTGTCAGATTCGCCTAGGAGGAATACTGACTTGTACTTGGCTGTCCGCGCAAGTCATTGTATAGGCCACATCGCATTCAACACTGCGATTCTGAATGGAAGTAGAATGCGTGCCGCATCCCACAAAGGATTGATCAACGGCGACTACTTTATCCTTATTCTTTGGAAAAAAAAGAGAAGGCTTTTCTAGGGATGCCTCACTTACCTTAATGTGATCATTCTAGTGCATTCTAGGAGAGTTTGTAAGGTATTCACTGAGCTCATGATCAAAGAAATTAAAGGATAAAGGATAAAGTCTTCGCCGTTAATCAATCCCTCTTGTGGGATGCGGCACGCATTCTACTTCCATTCAGAATCGTAGTGGCTTATTGAATGCGATGTGGCCTATACAATGACTTGCGGGGGCCAGCCGATGTACAAGTCAGTGTTTTATCCTCCCAGACGAATCTGGTACCAATTTACCGTCCCCGGAGGGTAGAAGGCTTGGTTGGCCTGGGCGGGTGTCGACCTGGGATTCGAACCCAGGACCGCGCGAGTGGTGAGCGCGCCACTTGTCACTACACCACCTCCGCCTCACCTCACTTACCTTAATGTGATCATTCTAGTGCATTCTAGGAGAGTTTGTAAGGTACTCACTGAGCTCATGATCAAAGAAATTATGGTGTGATTCGTTTTATCAGTGAAATGGACTGTAAGTCACGCAATAAATGAGATCATTAGCTGTTGATTGTGAATTCATGGCCGAGATAACCCGTGGTGCATTGAAGTAAGACTAGAGCTTTCTTGCAGCAAAGCTCCGTAGTTGCCTCCATCAGAGAGCTCCGTAGTTGCCTCCATCAGAGACGATCGTGTTTCGGCGGTGTTCATCATGAATCTGCCGAACGATCACATCTACCGGCATTCCTGTCGTCTCAACCATCTGCAAACATCAAATTCAATTTGATGAAATGGAAAACCTCTATGTCGCTAATTGCAAACACCGACGAACCATTCTGTGTAGGGCCGTTACGAGAAATCCGCAGCATGCGGCTAGGAAAAAGTAAATTCCTGCTCCGAAACAGGAACGAAGATTTGGGAATATCAACACTTCGACCATTCCCACAGCAGCTGGCAAAGATTGTGACAGCTAAACTTTACAACATGCTTTATCATCTCAGTTTCCTCTCTTCCCTCGCATTTACCTGGGATATTGTAGCTCGAGTGTTGTGGGGACACACTTCAGATATCATCATTGGTGCCATGATTAGCATGCCCATATTTACGGCGCACTGACCCATTGTAGCTCCGAATACAGTGAGCATTTGCGAAAATAGGAGACTCTGGAAAAGAAGAAATGAAAGAACTTCTAGGATCTGAGATAGGATGAAGTGAAATGATCAACTGATGCTGTTGGTACTAGATTACGGTAGCTCCATATAAAGCATTAGCTACTGTAGTGAGTTTCGGCGCTTCATAAGCCTATTTCACGAGCGTTAGTTCACAGTTTCATGCTCGAAAATGAATGCAGAGATGCTGGCTGACTTACCTACAAGGCAAAACTCAAGGGGAACACAAAAAACCTTCGGAAGAAAACGTTCATTCTCACAGCTAGCCCAGGTTGGTAGTCAAGGGTCCGATGAATATGGGCGCAAGCAAAATCGCTTCTATTTTATAAGAACGATCTTCCTGTGAGGTTTGTTTAGTTTAAAGTTTGAAAGATGAATACGTGCAACGCTAAAAACCCATGTTCGATGCTGTTTCCTGATGCTCTCATACAAGATTGAACCGTTTCTTCACGCAGTGGTGCCGCAGATAGCCCACGTGCTATGCCCTCGCCTAGCTTTAGCTCAGGACTCAGGTTTCCCAGATTAGCTATATTTTCGTTTTCCACGCCCTTGCGTGAGGTAAGGGAAATACGACAGTGTCAAGGCGACGGCCGGCGGACCGGATGAATCGTAGATAGCATTCAGCCTCAAAAGCTCGAGTTTAGCATGTTCATCTCTGCTGGGATATAATCCTGCGTATAAACGTTCACTTCTAGTTAAAGCGTTAGTGGAAGGGATAGTTTTCAGGAGGCGGTCAAGACAATCGTAAATGATGGCCCAGTCGCGCGCGGGCGATGCGCAGCCTGCAGATTTTGAGATGATATCACGTTTGTGACTTGTTTACTGGCGAGGTCATACGGAATGTCAAGCGGAGGCAAGACTGCGCTGACGAAGCAATATTAAATTTCCCTTCATTTCTCTCTAATCTGACGGAGCTTTTTTTTCTGGGTCCGAACAGGACAACCAATCCGTAGGCGCTCGCCGACCAGTGCGGCACATTACGATTGTTTTGTCGCATTCCTGGAGATTCCTTTTCCTGAGCAGATATTGCCTCCCACACTATCAGGCTCTTCGAAAAACGGCTGCAAGTTGAGATTTCTCGTTTACAGTTCTTCGTTAAAGGTAGTCCCCGCGCTCAAGAAATCGCAATTATCGTACAGAAGACGTGCCGGCTTCCAGCCTCTGAACTGTGCACTTTTCGAGAGCTTGCAAAGTAGCTTTTGTGAGTGCACTGCCAGCCCTTATAAGTGGCAGGCTTTGAACGCCCGTCCTCTTTCCCGCTTACTGGACTCCGCTCTTACGCGCTATTTCTTTGTTTTCACCAAATGTACGAACGGGCATTTGTGCAGGAATAAGACATGAAAGTAGGGCAGGGTGCCACCGAGCACGCCGTACTTCGATTTCCTTGGACCACCTCAGCAAATCCCGGACAGTGTCTGGTCAGACAGACTGCTTGTCCTTCGTTTCGATCGTTTGTTATTGGTGGCCTTCTTCACTATCAGCTTACGGAGCAAATATTGCCTTCGAATCCCACTATGAACGACTTGCAATCGCAGGTGTGTCATCGAGTGGAACGTCTTTGGCACACTTCATATTTACTTTACAGGAAAGGCATTTGCCCTTTCAGCCATTCGATTACAGTCACGTCGTGGAAAGAGAGCCAGCAAATGGGATGAATAATAGCAGTAATTCTTATTCTCGGGGAAGGGAAGGGATAAGGCAAGAGGAAAGTTTATGCAGCTGCAAATGATACGATAATGAGAGGTGATCCATACCAGTTTCTTCGCAGTGTTCTCTTATAACTCTCATATAAAATGAATTATGGAATTGATGGCCTAAATTAGAAGCTTTCAGTAGTTTTTTTGGCTTTTTATGCGCGAGACACTTAACGCCTCTAAATTCATGTTTTAGAAAAATTTGAAAAAGATGGAAATGGGGTAGTCGAGTGAAGAAAAAATAACTACAATATGGTATTTATATAGTAGCGAACAAAAGTGGATCTCACCGTGTGTCCAACATCCCATAGTAGTTGAGCGATACCGAGAGCAACCCACTCGAATGTACAAAGCGCTGTAATCATTATGAAGACCTTGCGTCGTCCACAATTTTCTATAAACATCGGGGATACGAAGCAGAGCGGAGCAGCCACAACGGTGATCACCGTCATCGCAGTATTAGCCTGAAAATTGGTCATGTCTTCTTTATCGCATAATCAAGGGACCTGAAAGGTTTATTACTTGACTAAAGTATCATTCGATTTATGCG